ATTCCCCAGATCTGGCCCCCCGTGACTTTTTCTTGTTCCCTAAACTGAAGAGGCCCATGAAAGAACGACGTTACGCTACGATTGACGAGATAAAGACGGCATCGAGGGAGAAGCTGAACAAGATAAAAAAATTATTTTTTGAAGTGCTTCGAAGATTGGAAAAACCGTTGGCACAAGTGTATAATATCTCATGCGGATTACTTTGAAGGGGACAAAATAGATATTCATGAATAAATAAATAATTTTTGAAAAAACACAAAATTCGCGATATTTTTTGAACACACTTCGTATGTGTCAATCACGTACCGCAGAAAAGGGCAGACGTAAACAGATCAGATAATTAGAAATCTGATCTGGACCATAAGATGGTAAATTCCATTGCAAATCATAATAAGAATTCCATTCTTACACAATATGGTCATTTGGAATAAGCATTTTATGCTTATTGCATTCCGAAGCGAATCGACAATATTTTTTTCTTCTGAATGCTCAAACTAGGTTCTTTGCAGTATTGCGAAACTATACATGAGGTTCGTTACTTTCAGCGTATGCAGCATTTAAACAGTCTCCCTTTCCGTGGGTCGAACCATATTAAAATTATTATTATTTCACTAAACAATCAAGATATTTTTAGTTTATAAATCAACTGCCCGCCCCAAGAGATGCAAATAATTAGCTAGAAAATATAAGCAGGCTAAAAGTTTTGCTACTAGAAATTATCTCAAGTGTAACGGACAAATTAAAGATGCTAATGAATATAGGTAAGTGTAGTATGTGTGTTTGTACTCATATGTGGTATGAATATTTCATACCAATACTCCTCCACGAGTACGAGTATATCTAACAAACAACTCAACACTTTTTACATGCGTGCACACATACGAGTACATACTCGTATATACGAGCATACTAATTTTCGTGCCAAAAACCTACTACCTATTACCCCAAGTCAAGCTCCGTTCTCTATTGGATACGTGGATTGCTCATGTGTGTGTGTCAAAATCATAGCAGCGCAACGGCTCTTTTCCTTCTTTAGTTTGTATACGAATATGTATGTATGAGTATGTACCTTTGGCCATTATCGCAGCTACCATTGGCTCGGCGTCGATGTTGGTGTTGGGCTACTAAAAAAAAAATAACAAAAAAAAATTACCAACAGACAATCAAACAAATTGTAACAAAAACTTAAGCTGTGCACCAACGTTGAACTTGACTGTTGGCCGCGGAGGATGATTATTTGTTGGAGGTTTCGGAAATGCCTCAACATGCTGCCGTTGCCGTTTGTCGAAATGACAAAAGAGGCGGCAAGTTAATATACCGCTGTACACCTGCATCAAATCGAACTTTTTTTTTGGACGAAAACAAAGTTTTACCAATATGCTCTGGTGTGTGGTATATTCACCCGTAGCTAGTTCATTCACAGTACAGGTACAGTACGAATGTTGGAATACATTTATGAATGACTGATTAAGTTGGCTCAAAGTGTTTAAATTGGGGTGAAATGAACTGTGCGCGTGCGTGCAGCGGGCGGAAGTGGCGTCGGTGCTGGCCAAGTCAAGCGTGAAACGCACTCTTCGTAAATACATACATACATATTTATGCATGTGCGTCATAGTCAAAATTTTCAGTATAAATTATAAAATTTTATTACCATGTAAACGGCTTACCTCCATCTGCACATTATGAATTTTGACTATTTTGTCATAACTCATTGCAATAAATGTTCGCCAAAACATGTTTGTGTGTACGTTTGTTAAAAATTTATAGTAAATGTGACTGTCTCATCTATGTTTAATCACATAATTGAGTAATGCAAGTGTGTGATTTCCAGTGTTGGTGACGTCCGATTGTTAATTTATATAACATTTGTGCTTACGTCGAAAGGTTAACGAATTTTAAATTTAGCGCAAAATTTGTATAAATTATGTATTTACATATATAGGGTGATTTTGTAAGAGCTATAGGAAAGTTTAAAAAAATACATACAATGCAGAAAAATGCCTGAAATATTTGTTTGAATCGATAGTACGGTGCATATAATTTAATGTTTGAAGATTATTTCATGCAAATGTTGACTGTGACTGCGCCTCAAATGGCCCATCCAATTTTGGCATACAACAATGTTGTCCCCCAATGCGTCAGTTGAGGCGGGCTTGTCTGTATAGACATTAGATTTAACATAGCTCCACATAAAAATAGTCTAAAGGCGGCCAAATGACCGGTCCCGAATGTGAAATAAAATATTCACTGAACTCGCCTCTCAATAAGTCCATTGTTACGCGATGTTACGTGGTACCATCTTGTTGAAACCAAATTTCATGCAAGTCAAACTCTAGCATTTTGGGCAAAAAAAAGTTTGATATCATCTCACGATAGCGCTCACCATTCACAATTACCAATGATGCCACCAGCACATAAACTGCACCAAACTGTGACTTTTTCTGGATTCATTGGTAGCTCTTGCAATGCTGCTGGCTGATCTTCACTCCAAAATCAAAAATTCTGCTTATTTACGCACCCATTTAGCCAAAAATGAGCTACGTCCCTGCATATATTTTTTTTTTGAACTTTCTTAATAAAGTACGTATTTTGATAATAAAATTCAATAAAGCGTTGTTCGTTTGTAAGACGATTCATGGTCAAATCATAGACCAAACTGAAGATGTTTGACAGTGATACAAAACACAAAACATGAGTAAGCTGTTCAAACCAGTGTTGCCAAAGAGATAATAGCTAAAAAACCTCCCTTTACATACATGAGTACGAGTATATTTACATGTATACAAAAAATTGTGATTTTTTTTATTAAAAAAAATATAAAAAAAAAAATTAAAAAAAATCACTCTAAGTTTTGTCCGTCGGATGCGACTGCTTTTTCCTATTTCTCTGGTAAAACCATCTCTATAAAATGAGACCTCTTCTTTCTCAATCCAATCATTGAGCTATTCTTCCATTTCTTCAAAAAATCCGTGCCGGTGACCAACCAAATGGTTTTGTATCAATCCAAAAAGGAAGTCTGGAGAATACGGTGTCTGCGTTGTCATGCTGCAAAATCACCTTGTCAAGCCTTTCGGCCATATCTGCCGCTTTTTTCTTGCAAAACACAGCTCAAATGCCTTTGTAGTAGTCGAGAACGTTCCGCATAAGTTTTCGGTATACCTACCTGGTTCAACTAGAACGCTCTTTGTCTTCGATCACTTTTGAAGCATCAAAACCACTCTCTGCAAGACTTATCGCTCGGCGCAGATTCAGCACAAACTTCCACAATCATTCATTAAAATAATAAAATAAAAAGTAAAATAAAATAGAAATACTAAACTTCCCGCAAATGTTGTTTGTTTAACATAAATTCGAATATTTTTGAAGAGGCAAGAAACAATGTTGGTATCAGAAACATACCGCTGATGCACATTAATTATTGTTGACGGATGAGAAACCTTCGCCATGAAATGAACGGGCGGCCTTAATTGGAAAAATTAGTTTCCTACAATCTTGGATGTTGGTTGGAGCAGGACGCGAATCCTCGCACGCACTACAAACCACTCGACCAATGTCGTGGAAATTTATTATCAAAAAATATGGTTTACGCTCGCGTCCAATAGTCAATGAAGTTTACTTTCGGTTGAATCGGTACGTTAATAATTAAAATTATAGCATTTGAAGTTTATTTATAAGAAACTTTAATTCTTGGCCATAACCTTAAATTATATGAGATTTATTTCTTCTTGAAAACCACATATATAATTGGCGCTTTTTAACCGGTGAAGAGATTTTCTTGATGTTTTGCCAACAAATGGAGAGACCTACAGTTTATACTAAGCCTCCTCCGGACGGAAGGACCGAGTTCAAATCCTGGTACGACCAGCGTGCAAAAAGCTATCGAAAATTAATTGCGGTCGCCCCTCGGCAGAGAATGTCAACCACACTGTGTGTATTTCTGATATGAAATAAAGCAGCTTCATAAAAACTGAGCTCTACGTTTGGAATGTGGTCCTTTCACTGGCAGGGAACTCAGTAAGATGTCAACGGCCTCTCGGAAAATGGCGTTTAATGCCTGTTGGTGAACCGTACTGTTCAACGATTGTTGTAGGAAGTGCTAAATGCAGTTATTGATTTCGATTAATCCCTTCGATTAATCACTATGGCAAATCATTATGCTCCTTAACCCGTAGCGTAGATGCTTCGCTGTGCGAGTGAGAGATTCCTGTCACCGTCATAAGGGCGATTTTTTGGCAAGCTTGCAGTTTCTTCATATGCGTTTCGCTGGTCCTTGGCGTCCAGATTGGTGCAACAAAGTTCCCAATCGACATGCCAGTTGCATTTTAAGTTGTCTGCAAGATTTCTTTATATTTTCCGCAGGTGCTGCGGGCTAACGCTTTGAGGAAGTCCACTTTCACTTCGAGTCCGAGCCTGTACTCCTGCGTCCAGCTAGTAAAGAGGGTAGGGTAGGATGATTTGGTTGGTTGTAGTCGTAATTGTTTTTCAGCGGACAAGTGGGAAAGGTCACCGAGGTAGCAGTTTACTTTCGAATATAAGTTATCAATAATATCGAGCAATCATCGGCATACAAGATCAGTGAAACTACTTCCGGTGGAGAAAGAAGTTTCGAGATATAAAAGTTACATCGGTATGGGGAGAGTACACCACCCAGCGGAATCCCATTTTTAATTTTTCTGAGGTAACATTAGCTCCTCTTTCCAGTTTTAACTGGTTTTTGTACATTTGATATGTTAGGCTTCAGATGTCGTTGTAGGTTTAGTAAATAAATTTAATATTAACAAATGTTAATAAAAGAAAAAACAAAAAAAAAACATATTCAATCGAAGATCTCAAAAGCCACCCCTCGCTATTTGTATTTGTATTATGTGCAGTAACGACTACAGAAATTTTTTATGTTTGTAAATAAGGAGAATCCAAAAGGAATTATTAATATACCGTTAGTTAAGCCTGAAGCTTACCCTTCACTTAATGTTCATAATAAAGCCATAAAGTTTACTTACGAGTATTTATTCATACTTTCATCCTTCTTTACTTCTTTACTTCCGCAAAGCAGCTGTTGTTATGTGGTTTTGTGTTACCTTTCCACTGGTTGGCGGTTATGTTCTTACAAATTATAACACTTCCTCTATTAGGGTTATTTTACAACTCATTTTCCATCCCAACTTTTCACTTTATAAATTTTTTGATTTTTTATTTTTAGTTATTTCTTTTTCAATTTTCGTGACACAATTTGTGCTTTGATTGGTTTGAAGAAGTCAAGAACCCCGAAAATGTGCTGTTACACGAAGCGTGACCTATGGAATCACGGAAAGCCAAATGTATAATTAAAATAATGTAAATTCTCGTTTGTAATAATACGAAAAACAAGAAGAATCATTTTTTTTATTTCACAAAAAAAGGTTTAGTTAGTTCTTTATTTAAACTGAAAAATTTATATGTACGTACATACGTATTAAGTAAACCACGATTCTCTTTCATGCAGTTCTAATTAAAAACAAAAAATGTATTTTATTACTCCTTAATTTATTTTGCTTTGATTTTCATTTCATTTGCACGGACAATCAGTTCACTGGAGAACTTCTTTTTCCAGCATTTTTCGTGTCACACTATTTTTAATGCCTCGGTGATTTATTCCGTGCACATCCAAGGGCGCATCCCAAATTAATTGCACTACAATTAACAGTACATACATGCATATGTGTTTACTCAGTTAAACTCATTTGTAAAATTAATTATAACATTCAAAAATTTCTAACTCCATCAACTCCGCAAATTACCGACCAACTACTGAACACTGCAACTACTCCATGACAACTGAAGTTCAAAAAGTAAGTTTGTGGCTCAAATAATTACAAACTACGTCCATATTGCGTTGCCAATATGAAACCGTCCAACTATGTTACCGAAAGCCGCTCCAACTCAAAATGCTCAGCAATTTATGCCACTGGGCCTACCGACACATCGACACATCTACATACCAACGAACACACCACCTCTTTCATTGTCTTCACGTGCAAATGCGCAGAGCCGTAAAGCTCAGCGGCAAATGTAATGGATGAAAATTCGAAATGTACGCGTGCGATATGGCGCTCCACCACGCGAAGCTACCGACACCGGCAAAGCGTAAATTCTCATACAACCACTGAATTGAGCGAATAGAGTATTTGGGAGTCCCTTGTTTGTTGCCTGGGTTATAAGAGTGTCTACTCATTAGAGCTTAGTTTATGGAAATTTGTTATTATCGACGCTGTTGTTATGTTGAATGTGAAGCAATGCAAGAGTATGCATAAATGTTTATTTACTCACGAAAAAAAAAAAAAAAAATACCGGCAAACAAAAGCAAAACAATTTGGGGTGAGATTTGTATTAATCACGAAAGCTCAATATTCTAAATGCATATGGTAATAAAAGGACAGCTCTCGAATGAACAAAGTCTTTATCATAATCTGTTTCATTATTATAGCCGCTGAAATGATTTTCGGCAGAGCTCGTGCTCCGATTTGTGGTATGCGTCTTGATGCTTTTTGTAACACCTACACTGTATTCCAATTGGCGGATGAACTTTTGTGAGCAAGTTTTTATTCCATGGCAGAAATATACTCAGAGTGATGGACATTCATCGCCGAGAGGCCAACGCAATTATAAAATTTCACTTAAAATTGTGAATTTTGGACATTGATCTGGTCGAGCCGATGACACACTGCATTATTTCAGCATTTACCGCAAGCCATTCAGCCGAAGGTTGAACGGCAATGACATTTAAGACTGACTTCAAAATTACGGCAAAACTGGACTTTGATGTTTGTTCACTTCCCTTAACTTACACCCAACAGTTTGATTGGATGGAACTTTGAAGATACATCGCTTCACAAAACGACGTCAAAACACAACACAAAATCGAAAGTCAAAACCCTACTCCCTAATTTTGTAGACGTGTGTATATGCCACATAATGGTTATAACGCAAAGTTCACAAGTTTCTCAAAAGTTTTGGGCATGAACTATCGTTTTTTACATTATTACAGTCAACTTTAAAAGAGTTGCAGTGAATTTTGATTCGAACAAACTCAACGTTGTAAGATACGCAGTGAGATGTTCATATCTTGGTTATAGGACAGTCTAGTCAAAGTCAAATTTCTAGATAGGTAAAAAGGTAAAAGAGATAATAATTGTCAAAGAAAAAATCCTTCTTCTCGCGAATTTAGTTATGCTTTCCCCAGACTGTATAAAGCAGCGAGGTGAAAGGATCTGAGCAAGCACGAGACGAAATATTTCCTGTCATCAAGTAAACAGCGCATTTGCATTCTGGCTCATTCTTACAGTCATAACTTTGAGGTTGTAGATAATTTTGTAAATTAATTACTTATGCCAGAAAATGCCACTTTAGACTGAGTAGGCAATTGAAGTAAGATCTTCTCCTCTCCCTTCAGGCTAACTCAAATTCGCTCAAATTACAGCTGAGAGCGTGAGCGGAGACATTCAACAGCTGAGGCACCAGTACCACTATCTACATAAAAATTCACTGTTTTAGTTTAAAAAAATAAATTTTAATTAATTGTACTCTTCAAAAATGTGTGAAGTGTTTGGTATCTATCTAGTAATCTTTGATATGTAATAGAAGCATGTACGATAACGGCATCTGATGTATCGGATTTGGGAGTTTTGGATAGAAAGAGTTTGCCGATATTGAACCTTGAACGATGAGCTGTAAGATGTATACGACGCCGCTGTCCATACCATGTGTCAGTGTGGAGTACAACGATCCTGCTTTGCAAGTTTTCGACGTAGTACCCCTTGGAAGCAGAGGAAGAGAGATGATTTGAGCGGTATCAATGAAGAAAAGGTAAGAATTATATTTAGACTTAATTTTTATATGTATATGATGAAGGAATAGTACCATGGGATCATTCGTCAAAGCAAATCAAGTTCAAGTAAACACGATCCATAAATATGAACTACGAGGTGTGTTCAAAAAGTATCGCGAGTTTTGAATTTTCGCGGGTTACGTGTAATCGAAATTAGATTTTTTTGTGGCGTTATGTTGGTACTCATGTCTGTCACTTAAGTCGACAAGCTCGGCCATTTTCAAAAAAATGGATCAAAGAACCTGTATCAAATTTTGTGTGAAAAACGAAATTAAGTGCGCGGATGCATTCCGAATGTTGACTGTGGCATACGGAGAAGCTACCTTGGACCGAAGCAACGTTTATCGGTGGTACAAAATGTTTTCAGAAGGCCGAGAAGATGTGAACGACGAAGAGCGTGCCGGACGCCCGAGCACTTCAATAACAGACGCATCGGGGCATCATGAGTTCTTGCCACAGGGTAGAACGGTTAATAAGGAATATTACCTGCAACGCCCGGATTTGTAGAAGAACAAAAATTAGCTTTTGCACCACGACACCGCCCCTGCTCACACATCGTTGCTTGTGCGCGACTTTTTGGCCAAAATCAAGACACTAATGATGCCGCAGCCACCTTATTCTCCAGATCTAGCCTCCTGTGACTGTTTCTTGTTCCCTAAACTGAAAAGGCCCATGAAAGGACGACGTTACGCTACGATTGACGAGATAAAGACGGCATCGAAGGAGGAGCTGAACAAGATAAAAAAATAATTTTTTGAAGTGCTTCGAAGATTAGAAAAAAGGTTGGCACAAGTGTATAATATCTCATGGGGATTACTTTGAAGGGGACAAAATAGATATTCATGAATAAATAAATAATTTTTGAAGAAACACAAAATTCGCGATATTTTTTGAACACACCTCGTATATCGAATATAGTAAAGGACTTTATATGTGCACCTTCCAAAATGGATGCGTTAAACCGATGTTGATTTTTTTTTACCGATCGGGTTAGAATGACAAGTTGAGTGGATTTAGCCATGCCCAGCCAATTTGCCCAGATATGAGGCCGTCAAAAAAGCTTCAAAGTTATCAAAAGTATAAAGACTTCGGCGTTGCATGGAAGGCAGCTCTTTGTTCTAGTTTTAATTTGGTTTTGATGATTAGATTTGTTAGACTTCTGCTGTGGGTGCAGTTAAAAATATAATGAATGTAATAAATTCTCAAGCGAAATAAGTAAATATTTGATACAGAAGAAGGCTTTATATTATATAATAGCCGCTTTGCAACCGCCGAGGCGATTTTGGGCGGACTCCTTTCTCCGTTTGTGGTATGTGTGTTGATGTTTTCCCAACAAAATGAGGGACCTACCTATTAAGCCGCCACCGAACGGTTGATGGTTTCTTTTATGAGCAGCTTTATTTCAGTCAGAAATATACTCAGGCAGCTGTAAGTTTCTTGACGAGGGTCAATGGCAATTAGAAAAATTTATTTTTTATAAGTTTGAATCCTAGTCGAACAAAGACTCGTACGCTGATCTTCGGATTGTTTGTATGCAATGCTAAACACTCGATTATTGTGGTCGCCGTACATAACCCAGTTCATGCCTATTTCGCACACTCCAGCTTAATAATTTTGGTTGCAAGAACATTTTGAATTATTTACTTTTACCTTTATCATGTTTAATGCCAAAAAAAAAAAATGGGGAAAAAATAAAAATGATTTTGAACCTTCAAACACATTGCCGAGTTTATTATTATTTTGCTGTATAACGCTCACAAATATATATTTTAGATGCGTATACGCAGCTATTTACAGTACTGTGCCTATGCATATGTATGTATTTGTGTTAAATGAAGTTCACGCGTAACTATTCCCATTAGCACCAGAAAAATTCTACGAGTATTAAACACCTGTGCCAGGGTTCTGCTTCGAAGCTCAAGAACAATTGTGAAATGGTAATTGCATACATACATACAAGTACATGTACTCTTATAAATAGGTATATGTACATATGTATATATTGTATATAGATGCGTGACATATTTTGCATATTCATAGTTCCAGTTAAGGTCATCATTATTATATACGAGTACATGTTGGCCGAGAACAATACCAGTCCAGAGTTACACAATTCACAATTTCATGGAATTACATACATGTATATACAAGAATATGTACATATGTATATGACACTCATGTTTCCATAAAGTTTACGAAGGCACACATGAGGTGTACTTGATCCAGCCCCACAGACTGTGTCGAGTTCAGGAGTTTGACATTTTGTCACACATAAACATTTGTAGCATACATACATATATACAATATTTACTTGTTGATTTCTTGCATTTGGATTGTATACTACTATTTATATGAGTTGTTTTTTTATATCATACATACATATGTACGTACATCTCTCTTACCTTATTTTTATTACGGTAAAATAGTAGAATAACAAAGTGTTTTTAATTTCTTTGGTAAGGTGTTGATTTTTGTAATTTAGTGCAGCAGTAAATGATAGTGATTTGGTGTTGTCGGTACTTTTAAACACACATAACTATATACATTGTTTTATTACTCAGTTATGGGACTTGTTTCTCATAACTGTAAAATTTTTTCATAACTTTACTTCAAGTTAAAATACATACATATAACACCTTAAGAGTGCAATGAAGGCGCGTTTCACCTTATAATAATGAAAACATATTTACAGGCGTACATATTCATGCATTTATTTGTATGTCGAACAACAGTAAAACTATTTAAAACTGACCTGATAGTCAAAATTCCGGTGGGATTGACCTCCGAAATATCACATATTAGGTCCTATCGAGCGTTTTGTATGAAAGACTAAAGCCCACCATCAACAAACTGATTAGACCTTATTAGTGTGACTTTAGACCTAGTAAGTCCACCACTGACAAGGTATTCATCATGCGGAAAAATTCTGAAAAGTCCCGTCAAAAGAGGATCACCCTACACCACGCCTTGTCTAAATTTGGTATACCCAAAAACTTAAACGGCTGTGTAAACTGACGTTAAGGAGCACCAAAAGCTCCGTTTGGATGGGAAACGAGGTTCTAGAAATTCAAGAACAATTTTTACTGCCCATCAACTCAACTGTTAACACCAAACACAGGATCCCTTTTGCCAAGAGGAGTTGCTTTGGTCTGAGTGGTAATGGAAACATAAATTCCATCTCTCGGCGAACAAAGACCAAACTTTAGAGGTTGCTCATCATTCCGGCCCTGCTATATGGTGCGTAGACATGTACGTTGATAACATCTGATGAGTTGTCATTGAGAGCTTTTGAGAAAAAGATTCTATGCCCGCTGGAAAAGGAGAATACCGCAGATGATGGAAAGATATACGGCGACATTGCCATAGTTTAGCGATTCAAGAGACAGCGGCTATGGTGACTAGGTCCTGTGGTCCGGATGGATACAATGCTCCACGTATAAAGTGTAGTACCCGCCGGTTCAAGCAGAGGAAGATCTCCACTCCGTTGGAAACACCATGCGGAGAGCTGGCTGTACTTGGCAAAAAATAGCGAAAAGAAGGAATAAAGGGCGCTGTGTTGTTAACGTTATTATAATGGCGTAAGCAGTGTATAGTTTAGTAAAGAAGTAGGTAGGAAAAGTGGATGTCGGACGACGCTCCATCGCCAAAGTAACATTGGCGCAATGCACATAACGTTGTATCATTCACCTATCGACAATACAAAATTCAATGTAAGCACCCATGTGTGTTTCAACTCGAGAAAGTGATATGTCCTTTAACTTTCTACTTTAAGTCAAGAAGCAGTCAGGGAATTATATAATTGCTGATTTTCAACCGAACATCTGCTCCAATGTGTGACCAAATAGACTTACCTACATGTTTTCTGACCCGCATGAGAATGGCTGATGGATCTATACTCGAAGTTGTTGACATTTTTAACCAAGATGTTTTCGTGTGCTTGACTGTACCGCTGACCACGCGGCTACTGCAGCCGCTATTGTCTAAGTATGATACGTTCAAAAATATATTTCTAACTGTTAAGCTTGCTGTCAGATGACTTTATTGGGCGAGGAAGTATAGAAATGGGTCGGTGATCAAAGCGGACAAAACGAAATATCTTCTACCATCAATCGAATAGTCAGCGATTTGCGCCTTGACTCCCTCTAGCTGCTACAAGTCATAAACTTGAAGTTGGGGATAATTTGGCTTACCAAGGAATCACGAACAGGACTAACAAAAATGCTTGTCTGAAATCCAACGGAATCATACCTACCAACAGGTTTTACCTTGAACTGTCTTTGCCAATGTAAAGTAAATTCCTCTTGAGATGAAGACCAAACTCTACAAGTCGCTCATCACTGTCGTTCGCCTTTGGGATGCTGAGGAGTCTACAAACGATGAGTCAGTCTTAAGAGTAAAGTTTTCTTTCGACAAACAACGAACAAACTATACAAGTCGGTCATTATTCCTGTCCTACTTTATAGTATTCAGGAGTGTGGAGATCGATAACATCCGCGTAGTTGACTTCGAAAGCTTTCTAGTGACAGGTTTTGCAAAAAAAAAATGTATGACTCTTTGCGCCCTGACAATAGTGATAATCGCAGACGACGCTAACCGGCAACAATGACATGCAATCACAATAAAATTGGTGGTTCCATTCGGCGTCGATGGGAAAAATATGAAAATCGAAGGTAGGTTCAAAATATGGTACAATAAAATTGCAGAACTTTTTCTAAAGGAACTTCAGAAGGTCAGGAAATATTAATTTCTTAGAAAAATATATGTGCGAGCAAGAAGCGTTGTATGTATAGCCTACCCCTATTGAGTAACTTTACTCATTATTCATATTTATTCTTGATGATTAAAATGTTTTTTTTTAGTTCTTTTACCCTTTTCTTAACTACATATATTATTTTCTGATTTATACAATTAATTTTTTCAAGTGTAAAACTTACTTTTATGTGATATCATCTAATTTGCTAGAAGTTTAATTTTTAAAAGTCAACTGGAGAAGTCTACATTCAGGCGCAAATACTATGAATTGGCTTACAGGGTAAAGGTTTTTCAGAGGCGATTGTATACGTTTTATTGGCGATTTATAATCTCGAAAGCGATTTTCCGCCGAGCTCCTCTTCAAGTTTGTGGTGTGCATCTTAAAGTTCTTTTACCAACAAATGGAGGGAGCTACAGTTTCTACTAAACCGTCTCCGAAGAGGTGATGGGTCTTGATGAGGATATTGGTCGGACCAGGACTCGAACCCTGGCCTTCCGAATGGCAGGATGTACTGTTAAACACACGACGGCCGCGGCCGAGTGAGTACATTGACACCTTGGGCACTTGACTTACTTGACAAAAAGTACTTAAAACAAAGGGTCTCGTGTTCGAAACAATTGAATAAATATTATTATTTTAACGGCATGCGAAATGTCAAGTTTTTCGAAAAACAATAGCATCTCTAGAGAAATAAATAAAAATAGTAAACTTAAAAATTTTAATCAGACTAAAAAAAAAAATAGAAAAATCATAAAAACCGCAATTTTTTAATCAATCAATTCAAAAATTTCAAAATTATTTCGATTTTTTTATTCTGCTCTTTTTATTAAAAAAAAAAATAACTGTCACCTTTTTTACCTCCCATTCGTCCGTCACACGAATTTCACTTGAAAGCAAAAAATCATATTGAAAAAATCGTAATCCGGGTTTCTAAAGAGCAAGAGCAGCAGCAGCAGTAACATCATCAGCAACATTCAAACTAAAATAATGCAGAAAAACTTGGAATTACGTGACGTATGCAGTTTGACATCGACGAAGAAATTCAATCGCTGTCGTTCCTTTCACTTTCGGTATCTGGAGCTCTGTCGGGCGAAGAATCTGACTCCTTTGCCAGATATTCGCACAAAAAATAATGCAACATCGATGTTAGACTTTTTTGGTGACAAATTAAGTGTTACTGATTGGTTACTAATCATAGAAGCTCTTTACTACGACCAGGTGCTGCAAACGCTAAGTATCCGCTTACGTAAAACCTTAGGCACAGGTGAACAAGCCAATTTTGTAATTTTCTTTTGATATTTAATGACGAAGAATAGCAAATATTTGTTTGTCTGTCTCATTACAGTGTTGGAGCATTTGGATACGGAGAAAAAGGCAAGGCTCTTTAAACAGAAGCCGGTTATCTGTACAAAGTTCGTTTTTTCTGGTATCGTGGAGGCGGTCTCAAATTGTATCGAATTCAATAAGAATTTAAGAATTCTAAATCTGGAAGGTTTGCCACTTAATGACAAATATGTAGAATCTATAGCAAAGGTTTGTACAACTTAAATGAAAACTTTAATGGATTCTGCTTTGAAGATACATACATATGTAAAAAAATATTCTAAAACAATTTTAATTATTGTTCATTTTTCCTATTTTTATTTTTGTATATTTGCTTTTAGTATATTTTATATTGTTATTATTTTTTAACACTTTTTTCAATTAACTACTTTAATACCTCAGGCATTATCTTCGAATGAAAGCCTTAAGGAAATAAGTTTTCAACGTACGAATATTTACGATAAAGGATGCGAGGCTATATGTAATACAATTAAATATCTGGAAAATGTTGAAAAGTTAAATTTATCTGAGTGTGAGCTATCGACGAAAGGCGCTGAACATGTAGCCGATATGATAAAGGTAATAGAATAATTTTTTATTTGCAAGAAAATTTATTTATTTTTATTTTTTTTTTAATTTATATTTTTTTATATGCGAAACTCAAACTATTTCAAATCATTTTTTTATTCTAAACCTTTCACTCGTCTCGCCCTCAGATACAAAAGATCAGTCGCTACACAGAAGGCTGGCAAAAATCCTTACGCTATCGTGACGTAGATCCCGATACTATACCCGGTCTGCGTTCGATTGCATTGGCGCGCAATCCCCAAATCGGCGATGATGGTGTTAAAGCAATTGTTGAGATATTAAAAGAGGATGTATGGGTAAAAGGTAGTGAAAAAAACTAACATACAACTTTGAGGATTAACTAAACAAAATTCTACTCCACCACACAGTTATTGATATGGAGAATTGTGGTCTCACCGATCGTGCCGCAAATCTGATTTTGGATTGTCTCGAGGTCAACAATTATATTATCGATTTTAATGTACGTGGAAATGCAGGCATAAGTAAATTTCTACAACGTAGCATACGCGAGCAACTCGGTAAAGAGGATGAGGATCAAAAAATGTTAGAAGGTCAAATGCAACAGAGCTTGGGTGGTAATGGACCGAATTCTCAGTCGAAAAAGAATCGTATTACATTGACACAGCTCAAGGAGCAATTGAAAACGTTGGAAGAGCAATTGGCCTTCGAGCGTGTACTACGTAAAAAAGCTGAACAATTGAATGAGAAACTCAATCAGCAGATAATTGCTTATGAGAATCAAATGGAGAATGAAGCTAACTCTCGTATACCGGAAGGGTATGTTGTTGTCAAAAACGAATCGTTGCAGTCCATCATTAAAGAGTGAGTAATATACATTGGCATCGGAAGCCGAAATTAGGGCGAACAAATAATTTTAATGCTTTAAATTTGACAGACGCAATGACTTCCAGAAACTGGCAAGTAGTGTGTGTCGCAGCAATTCGCCACGCAATAACAATAGTCGATCCAAGCAAACGAATGCATTGAAAATGCAAAGTTCGCATTTGTCGTTACGTGAATCTCACAATGTGAGCAATTCGCAACGCAGCGTCGAAGAGACTTCGGGCCGTAGTAACACTGCTATTGAGAGCGCGAAGAGTGCGTCGTTGCATCAAGTTATGCCATCGCCAACATCGACCGGGAAAGACATGCATCGGAAATTACTTAAAGTGCGTAAAGTTAAAAGTGAGATGAAATATGTGGAACCCACACCGAAGGATCCCACGAAAAAGAAGGAGTCCAAATCTGATCATGAGTTTGCCAATGAGACTGACGTAAGTAGGCATTTTCAGAAGCAAATCTATGAGATTTTAGCTTCATACATGTACTACTGATGTTGTATCTATGTACATATCTATGCATTATTTAATTTTAATGTTATATTTATTTATTTATTTTTTGTATGTATTTATTGCGCTTTATTGAGTTAAGTCGTTCTTGATGAAATTTTAAACCAGAAAAGAATCTACAATAAACCCGACTAATTTATCTTTAAAAATATATGCTGGACTTACATCAATTTACAATAATTTCCCGATTTAAATACTCAAAATTAGTTAATCGATTATAATTTAAAAATTCCTGCCTACATTTCTGGCTAAACCAAGTAAATAATTCCAAGCAGAAAAAAATTTCATTCCCATAAAAAACGAAAAAAAATCACATGGAATTATAACGGTTTAAAATCAAATACATATGTACCGTAAAAAATTGATTGACATATGTGGATTGGCTTTTAGGAGTACCAAGCAATAAGTTTAGTTAAAGGAAAGAGCAATATTAATCAAGCATTAATTTTAATAAAAAATAAATAAATGAATACACAATATATTTATGGAAATTTATAAAACTCCTAACAACGAAACTCCTCTGTTAAAAATCTTATTGATTTCAATATTCACCTTATCCATTACAGTTCAAACTTACCGCTGTGCATTTCGAAACAAATATTGGCGATTCGGCAGCCAATAATATGCCTCCGATGATGTTGTCTATGCCTCCAGGCGTTTCTTCGCCATTGCTTTCACAATTGACGGCACGTATTGATAAAAAATCAATGAATACTGGCGGTGGTTGCGCTTTATCCAGCGGTAGCGCTACCAGTAGCCCCAATAATTTTTGTAATAAAATTGAAATGGACGATTTGTCCATATCTACGTCACGTAGTCAAACTAGCGATGGCTGTTCCAGTGATTCGGATACGTTGCGCAATAGTGTTGCAGATTATCAACCAATGAAGGTGTTCATAAGACGCAACAAATCGTTGACGTCTCAACATCAACAACAACAACAAAGTGATGGAGGCGTAAAGTCACCCCGTACGCTATTTATGGGACTGTGCGATGATTGAAAAATGCGTTGACAAGTGTGCGTGTATGGAAGAGGACGAAAACGCAAGAAAGCTCAGAAAATTATGTGGAAATTTATTTTATTTTATTTCAAATGTTGAACTTAGTAGCATTTTTTTTCTTTTAAAGCTGTCGCCGAGAAGCATGTAATGGCCTCTCATTTCTCATACCATCTTCCTAGTTTTTTCTTAGGTAGTATAGAGAAGAGATATGTAATATCCAATTGTTTTAAAATTACACTACAAAATTCTATGTAGCAGCCCGAATATATTTTCGTATATGTTTTCTTGCTCACAGCAGTTCTTGTGTAATCCTTTTCTCAACTCTGTGTATACGTACATGTATGTATATATTTTGTATAATATTATGTTGCAATAAATATATGTTTATAAAAGTTTTAAGAAAATTATTTATGCTAAAAAGCTTGGTATTACTTTAATCAGCAATGATCATAATGAAAAGGAGTCTGTAAGACCTAAACTTATTGAAAAGGAAAAACTTTTTTTTTTGAATAAATGGAATTGCATTGTATTTCACGTCTATATGTGCATAATTAATTTGTAATTTGCAAGAACATCATAGCAGTTATTTCATTTCAATTAAAAAGTTTTGTAGTTAAAATTTAAATCTCGGTTAGGTTGACAATGACCCAATCATATCTTGTAATACATGTAAAATTGCGTTAAAAATATTTAACCGCCAAAACCGTATAGGGTACGACCTTGACGTTTCAAAGCGTAAACAACGTCCATAGCGGTTACAGTTTTACGCTTGGCGTGTTCGGTGTAGGTGACAGCATCACGAATGACGTTTTCCAAAAATACCTGGAGGATATATAATAAAAGGTTTAGTATGTAAAATAAATAAAATATTTCTAATTCTAAAATCTCTTACTATGTTGTAGGCTGATTGAAAACTACTATGATAATTCTCACCTTCAAAACGCCACGAGTTTCCTCATAAATCAAGCCAGAAATACGTTTTACACCACCACGTCGGGCTAAACGGCGAATGGCCGGCTTTGTTATACCTTGGATGTTATCACGTAACACTTTGCAATACCTTAAAGATATTTGAACACAACGTTAGAAATCTTAATACACAAGAGACAAACTTAAATATATTGAAAGCTGACCGAATTCAATTTCACAACAAACACCCTCTATCTGCACAGGTAGAGACAGCCAAAATCGATCGCATTTCATGCATCAAATGCACTTACCTTACGATGGCGTTTTGCGCCTCCTTTACCTAAACCTTTTCCACCCTTTCCACGACCAGTCATTTTGCTTGTTTATTTCTTAGTTAAGTTTTCCGATCGAAAAATCCTCAGATAACTCTGTAATAAAAAAATTTTCGTTTGTAGATTTAATTTATGTTTTTTTTGTATTCGATAATGTATTTTATTTATTAAAATAACGAATTTCTCTGGACTCACCTTTTAGTTGCTTTGCTTGGTCTATGCAAAAATGGCGACGTTAATATTTTCTTTTACTTGCATATCTTTCTTTCATTTTAGAGAGAGTTAGCTATATATTAAAAATTTACGAATGCGAGTTGGAATCGGTTACATGTTTAGCGTCATCTACTGTGTGGTAGCTAAACTTATACAGACATTATAATATGTGCACAGCAACAATAAGTCAAATAGATTGAATTATGGAATCGAGTGTGTATTAAGTTCATTACGAGGAACAGCGGATTATTGTCAGAAATGTCCTTACATTTAGGTATCTGTTCCTAAAAAGTTGTATTTTATGTTTTTCTTGAAATCCTGGGAGACTAATTTTTGTAGTGGCTTCTAAGCGAAACTCCCTCGTAGAAAGGGGGTCTTTGGCGGCGCTTTAAAATATAAGCACGATCGGACCAATTCCGGCTTCGTCTTGTACAGTAAATGTCAATGAAACATATTTGTGAGTTACCTAGTGGTTAATATTGTGTACTGCCATTCTCATTGCAGACTTTGTGTCCGCTTCTGTAGTTATTACATGCCAATTATATTTATATTCTAAGCAAAGACCACATTAAATTTGTTTGGGGGGACTATGATATGACCATCTTGTTTATACATAGATACATGCCCATAAACAAAAAGTATTAAAAAGGTTTTCCATTTTTTCCTTGCTTACTGTTATTTTCGTTAATTGTACTTTACAAATATAATTAAAAACATAATTTTTCGTAAAAAAATTATTCATTACTTTCTCAAATGATTAATTTGTGCCTGTGGTGCAATTGTACAGTTTTGGATTACAAATTTTTATTATTATAATATTATTTATTACCTATTTAAAGAAATTTCAAATAGCTTTTGTTCTTTTTGAGAATTCTGACACTTAGCAACTCTATTACCTATATTAAAATAAAAACAAAAGACACTCTCTATCCCTCCTTATCATATGTGATTCAAGCGTCCGGCGACTGTCAGTCGCATCGTTGAAGCAAGCCTTTTCACTCCCACGCACACTCGCAAAGGTGACGGTGGCAAGTGTGCTCACCGAGAACAGTTGAATAACAAAAAGAAAAGTCAAAATTGACAGCAAAATAACTACGATCCAGTGAAAAGATACAACACAAATTACTTTTAAGCTATCGTGTGCTGAAAAACATTATTTAATGGGTAGAACTGCGCTAAAAATTAGAGAAGAATGTGATTTTCATAAGTGAATGACGATATGTGAAATATTACAGGCGTAATAAATCTTTGGCTTTCGAATGATGAGCGAATAAATCTTCATGTGTCGAACAGGGCACAAGTGTTAAAGAGGTCACATTTATGTGCTAGTGCAATGCGTACTTCAGATAAAATTCATGGGAATTTATATATTTATTTTAATCACATATGAGAAAGCGTCCTTACTTGTGATAAAAAAGATGAATGTAAAGTACTCTTACTACAACTTAGCTAAACTCTTGTAAAGTGTTAACTTCAACAACAAAAGCAACAAGCGCGGATACTTAACATAGTAAAAAAAAAAACAATAACTCCAATAAAGTATACAGAATGTTTGGAAATGTGTAAAGAGAAAATAGGTGTAATTATTAAATTTAGGCTTTTATTATGTTGCTAAACTAAACACGTTAACTGTTTTAGATCAGTGCAACGAACCTGAAAAATAGGTTTTGCTATAAATAAAGAGTTGGGAATTCGGAAGTTGAAAATGCTGTGTTATAATTTATAATAATTTAAAGTTGCAAAATTTACAAACAACAAACAGCAATGCGTAGATTTTATTATTGTAATTACCAAGAAATACAAAAAATTACCTTCCTACAAAATTTATATTTCGAGGATTTTAAAATGAACAAAATCAATTTCCCGAGAGTCACGAGGCAGATTTGCTTACAACTATCAACGATGGCGCTTCTACTCATCCTAATAACAAGTAAGCTAATTTTCCGAACGTTTATATTTTAATTTATAATTTATTTTTCATTATAACTACACATATGTATATATCTGCTTGTAAAAGAGTATGCGTGTACATATATAAATATAACTACTTTGGTAGTGTACGTAAAGTGCATTTTTTATAAACGTATGTAGGCATTAGTCTCCTCTTATCATTATTTTGCTTGTGTAATGTACGTATGAATAACTTAACCCACTACACAACGCGTTCGTTGATATATATTGAAAACAACTTATTAACGACTAAAAATATTAAATGTTAATATTTGCACAAATTTTTTGAGTTTTATACAGAACAATATACCTAAAACATCTTAGAATGGGCAGTGATTAGTTAAATATTTATATTTCAATGCGGGATGATTTGTGTGAATAGTATTCCTACCGAATTCAAATGGTTCAATTTTTGTAAAGTTATCATCGAGCTTACCAGCATATATATGTATCTACAATTTATGAAGAACGTAATATTTGTGATAGAGGTACGGTAAGTGAAATGAATTCACTGGAAGTTTTGTAATTCGTTATTAAATACGAAATAGCTAGAATTATGGCTTGATTCAAGCTGATTCTAACATTGGTAAAAACCTACTCTTAACTATTTTCGCAGCTCATTGCACGCCCACTTCTGCAGTTTTTTTTATAGTAAAGCCACATTATAAACACACACATCTCCCATTGTTGTTATATCATATTATAGCATTGCGGGTGTCCTTAGCATTTCTCGTCTCTGCTTAAATTACCCACACCCTAAACTTAAAAAACAACAATCAACCTAAAGTTGATACCTTCCATGCTTATCATACATTTTCCTACTTGTATGAATGAAAACGTGCTACAGAAGGATTGCCCGGTAGTGATGAGTTAAGGTCGTGTACTATGTGGCATATGATATGGCTACAAAGCGAGGATTGTGCAGTTGCGCCACTCAGCTCAGTACCGTAAGTAAGTACTTATATGCTTGGCGGCTAAATCCAACACGAAACTGTAAAACTTTCAATATCGAAGATAAAAGGGCACCAATACTCTTGATGTACCATACAATAATACCGCAGCTAAGCATTATAGTATATTTGTATAGAACAATATTTGTTGTAAGTTATGTTAGCATAGATAACGTTGTTGGAAGCAAAACTCAAACGAATTTCGCTTTTTTATGTTCGCTTAAGTTCGTTTCCAGTATTTCTTTCCTATTTACTTTCCATTTTATCCTTTTCACTTCCTTCTTCGGCTACCTTTTGATATTTTACTTTTACTATTTTTTGCCTCTTATTAAAAAAGTGCATATAAATGTATATTGATATGTATATTCAAAGAGTATTGACATTTAATATCCCTTATTTTTGTCCCTTTGATTTTTCGCTTTGTAGATTTAGCGGCTTGGACGCAGGCCGCAGTTTTAACAGATGGACATAGAATTGATTGTGAGCATTTTGATGAAAAGAATTGCACCATTGAGGGTGATTGCGCGATCAAAACGGAACATTGCAAAGCGGAGTCGGATAAAACATCTAGCTGTTATGTACTATGGACCATGGATAACGCTACAGGTATGTGCATCCATTCATTTGAACGTGTATATTTGTATTTCAATGATGCTGGTTACATGTTGCAAATGCAATGAATAGAATTGCTGTTATCTATATAAGTGTGTGTATATACATAAAGAAGTAACACTTTCATTTTTTTTTTTTATTAATATTTTCTAGGTGAAACCAAAATTAAAATGAAGGGTTGCTTTACGGATATGCATGAATGTAATCAAACGGAGTGTGTAACTAGTGTGGAACCCCGATCAAATAAGTTATATTTTTGCTGTTGCAAGGGTTCTATGTGTAATTCAGCTCACAAATGGATTCCTACGACCACCGAGGCTACAACTCAAGGTAAATAAATACAAATGCATATACAAGCATAATGTTATAAGGTCACACAGTTCATACACAGGTGCTGTGTTTCTCAATAGTATGTATTGTAAATAATTCAGGGGAGCAGTTTAACGGTTAATTAAAGGTCATGCAACTCCTTAAGTTATCTATTAATTTTTTACGGATTATTTTCATCTTAGTTGTTGTTGTAATCGCAAACATATTCCACACTTGTATTTGGCCGAATAAAAATCCAGATTGGTTTGCTAAAAATACCCGATTGTCGTGTGATAAATGGGATTTTAGTGACCCCTTACGACAGGCATGCCATACTGCGGGTTTAGTCTCTTAGCAATTTTGTAATATATATTGGAGCTGCTGTTTGATATACTATGCAAGGCACTCGCATGCATATTATAACCTACAAGAACTTTTGAATGATTGAATTTTTTAAAAATTATATATGATTCAATATAAAAATCCATAGAAATTGAGTATTAGAATTTGATATTGGTCAAGTTTGTTTTGATCTATTCGAAACAACTCGCTACTGTTCCTCCCGAATGTTGCGGGAACTCTTGGATTTTAGTCGCAACTCGCTACTTGTATGTTGTGCTTATAATGATGTCAATTAAAATCAAGAAATAAAAGCTATCTTCCATTTTGTGTCGGAAATTATATTCCTTTCATGACCATACAATATTTATGGTATTTTATTTCAGTAGTAAATAGTAGTTTTCATAAGTTAAAAATTTGGTTGGAGGGGCAACGTGACGAAGTTATCCGATTTCGATGATTTTCGGTTTAATTGTTTATTTGTATATACGAATGTATAATACCGTATTCCGTACTCTAAATTGCGCTTTTAACGAAGTTTTGCCTCATATCTGAAAAGACCGGTGCATGGGAGCTATATGTTATAGTCGTCCAATTTCAATAATTTTCAGCACCTCAGATACTTTTTTAATAAATTTATGAACCAAAATGTCCGGTTCGTTGAAATGTAGCCGGACATCGTACCAAGCTGGTTTGAAAATATCGCAAAAAAGACTGCCTTGCGTACAATCAGACGGAAAGACGGACATGGCTAAATCAACTTAACAGGTCATTCTGACCCGAACGGTATAAATTGTTGATGGGTAAATCTCTTTTCTTTCTTTCTGGTAGTTACATACCTTGGTACAAAATTATTATACCATTTCATGTACCTGTCTCGTAACTGTTAAAAGGTCAAACAAAAAATGTGCTCTTCGTACCTGAGTTGTATTTAACATATGTTTTGTTAGTGAAAAAGTGCGACACGTTTCGGTATTAAAACCAAGTTGTTCTGAGAAGTCATTCATTTTAGTCCGACTTAATTTCAAATTTCAGTCAAATTACCCACTGTTCAATAGTGTGAGTTTCTTGCAGCTTAAGTGCCGATTGCCACTGCTCTACACATGATTATACACACATACAAACAAACATAGAAACATAATAAGTTTACACACACTCGCATCACTGCTGATGCTGATGCTGATGCTGTTGCTCATCCGCTGAAGTGTTCAAATTTGTAGGCGGCTGGGGTTGCAAAAGCGATACAGGAAAAAAATTGCAACAAAAAACCCCCCAACAACAGCCACAGAGACCACAATAGTCGTGTGGCACGTGTGCAGGTTGGAACGCGCAATTTGCAATTTGCCCGTTGTGAGTAGTGAGTTGTAAGTGCTTTTACATACATACATACACGTACATAAAATGTGCGCACAGCGTCATACAGTATTTACCCCAATTTTTACTTTGTTTTGCTTTGCTACTTTGTATCGTTTGAGGTCCTTGCTTTTCGGTTTCGGTTGCTGATGATGATTGTTGTTGTTGTTGTTGTTGCTGCTGCTGCTGCTGCTGCTGCTGTTGCTGTTGCTGGTGTTGCATGCAACCGATGCTTGTGCTTGCTGGTGCAGCTAATATTGTCGTAGCGCATTGGCACATCTCAGTGCCATGCGTCGTTGTTGGGGTATCGTTTCGTTATAAATGGTGTATCCCCAACTCTCGCCATTGTGTGTCGAGTGAACGAACTCGGTGCGAAAAAAGAAATACATACAACAAAAATGGAGTGCATAGGCAGGCATCCAGCAGCAAGAGCTCGCTTCCAGTTGCTTGCTTCTCGGCTGTTTGGACACAGCTCCGTTAGCTGCAATCTGCTGCTACTGCATGCTTGTGTGCCATCGTGTATTTGAATAGCTGTTGCTTTGACTGTCGGTTTTTTGTTCGTATTTTTTTTTGTGCCGTATATTTGCCATTTATTTCGTTCTTTTGCGGATGCTTTTTAATTTCTTTATTTTCATTTATAATATTTTTCCTTTTTTTCTTGTTTTTTTTTACAAATACTAAAAACGCTTGATATGGGGAGCAAGCGGCATTTTTAGTTTTTCTTGTTGCAAGGCCTTTTTGTGTTCGCTTTTCACTTGGAGCACGTTCCTATAAACATATGTACATATGTATGTATGTTTCGAGCTGATTTTTTACGTTTTGTATACGGCATATTTGCTTATGTATATATGGGAACGAGCGTGTGTGTGTGTATATGTGTATGGGAGATTATCTGATGGAGTGTATGTGTAGGAGTTGTTTCTAAAATTAGGGGAGAACTTTCATTTTTGTGCGCTTTTTTGGTCCTACTTAAACAAACATACAACGCAGCATATATATGTTTGTATGTATGCACAAGCATAAATAAATACAAGCATGTGCACTCGTACATATGTACATATGAACATGCATTTACCACCCTTCTCGATTTAGCCACTTGAGCAGTTGTTCACCTGTGGTGTTCCCATGTTGTAAAGGAAAAATTCTAACGAAAATCAGTGGAATTGTTGTTGCGACACATTTTTAAAAATAATTAAAAAATTAGTTTTGGTTTTGAAAAAAAAAAAAATTTACAATTAAATTTTTGAGTAACCCATGGCTGGAGGTATAGCGGGTCATGTGGGGTTCCAACACTAGAAACTATACTCTGCCTTATGAAAATCCGGATGTTCTGTTATGAGCACCCGTCTCTCGTCTCTTTCGGCTGATATGCTTTATCTTCAATAAATTTTTGAACCACTGACCAGCAAAGGGCTAGATGACATAAAAAGAAAGGCATTAATTGCATTTTCGAAAATGCTTTTAAATTGGCATATGTTATTATTGTTGTTGTAGCCGCAAAAACATTCACCAAAGTAGTTTCCGGGTCCTTCCGCTATAACGACCAGACTGTCGTGGGAAATTTTGGATTTTAGTCGTTTTTTACGTTCAGGAGGAGTCAACAGCTGCTCTCGCGATCTCTAACCAATGGTATTTATTTTTTGCAGATTTTTAACTTATACCAAATTTTTGACATTTTTTTTAAATTTTTTTAATCTTTTTTGGGATTGGATTCTCTTCAAAAATGTCTAAGAGAGGTGCAGAGTTTGTAGAAATTAAAAAAAATCTTTATTTAAACTACACCCTCGTTCCACTCTATATATAACTAATGATAAAATTGTATATTTTTCTTCATTGCAGTGCCAAAAGAAAAGACAACCGATAATACAAATATGATTTATGTAGTAGTCTGTGCAGTTGTGTTCGTCTTTTTGGCGCTTTTATTAACGCCATTCGCCTTTTGCTACTATCGCAAGAGAAAACCAACCAATTTTAACGAAATACCAACGGTAAGTTAAACTTATTTAAAATTTTCTTTTGTTTGCTAATATAAATACTTGTATATTACAGAATGAAACGGAAGCTACAAATGCCACGCCACTGCTCAATAATCGACCCATACATTTGTTGGAACTGAAGGCCAGTGGACGATTTGGTGATGTTTGGCAAGGCAAATTGCATAGTCAAGATGTGGCCGTGAAGATATTTCGTATGCAAGAGAAGGAATCTTGGAATACTGAAGTGGAAATTTATAAGGTGAGATAGAGATTTTATTTTCTTTACCATAATGAAAACTATATTTTTTTTCTTGCGTTCCTCAGCTGCCACGTATGCGTCATCCAAATATATTGGAGTTCCTCGGTTGCGAGAAGCACACAGAAAAAATTCAACTGGAATATTGGCTTATCTCCGTCTATCATCCGAATGGTTCCCTCTGTAATTATTTGAAATCGCATACGTTGTCTTGGTTAGAGCTGTGTAAAATAGCTGAGTCAATGTCACAAGGTTTAATGCACTTACACGAGGAGATACCGGCCAGCAAAACGGATGGTTTGAAGCCGTCAATAGCACATCGTGATTTCAAATCGACAAACGTGCTTTTGAAGGGCGACTTGACGGCTTGTATAGCTGACTTCGGTCTAGCAATGGTCTTTCAACCGGGTAAGTGTTTGAGCGTTTCGTTGAATTTTATATTTATTATCATGTTTTTATTATGCAAATAGGAAAATCATGTGGCGAAACGCATGGTCAAGTTGGTACACGTCGCTATATGGCACCGGAGGTGCTTGAGGGCGCTATCAATTTCAATCGCGATGCATTTTTGCGTATCGATGTATACGCGTGTGGCTTGGTGTTGTGGGAGATGGTGTCGCGTTGCACTGCTGTGGGACCTGTAGGCGATTATATGTTGCCATTTGAAGCGGAGGTGAGTGCTAAACGCTGTGAATTATTTATAATTTTCAATTTATATTATTAAATTTTCCCATTTAGCTTGGACTCCGTCCTACCGTTGATGAGATACAAGATACTGTAGTCGCTAAAAAATTAAGACCGCGCATACTGAATACCTGGCGTACACATGCAGTAAGTAAAAAAATTGAAAATTTTTAAACGAGCTTAAAACATGCTAATTTTTTGTAATTTTCATTTTCTATAGGGCCTCAGCGTCTTCTGTGACACCATGGAGGAGTGCTGGGATCACGATGCTGAAGCGCGTCTCTCCTCATCCTGTGTCATGGAGCGTTTCGCGCAATTATGCAAATATACGGCAACACCATTGCTTATCGAAAATAATACGAATTGCGAAGAGGAGCGTTTAACATCCAATTGCTTATAGGAAAGGTATTAAATCACTTCGATCGATCATGACTGAAGTGATTGCCTGCCAGAGCATGAGAACAAGTGTAAAAGTTTGCTAAAAATTTACCATTACATACATCTATAACATTAAGTCCATAACAAAACAATTAAATTCGTAAGTTCATTCTATATGATATGCATAGATACATGCTTTCGAATGTATACATCATATCCACAACTCGTTTAAATTAAATTAATACATTTTAAAGTGTATATTGAAATAGTTTTACGAACAGCAAATAGTCGGTAAAGTAGTAGCATAACAAATTTAGCTTACAGCTTAAAGTTGATAGTTTATAAGCGATAGCAGTAAGTTATATACACGTATGTAAATATAATGCAAACATACCCACATACACAGACAAAACACACATAATGAACCTTAAAGAAAAGTAAGGAAAATAGCAAAAAATGATTTTTATGTTAAAAGTGCAAAAGAAATATAATACATAAACACATAAACACACACATGCACACACCCATACACACATACATACATACATGAACACCCTCACCTACATACATATACGTGATTAGAAATTATACGACTGACAAAACTGCTAAGAAAACAAAAATGAATTAAATGAATTATTAATGTTACTGCTCTACCTTTATCTACAATGATATTAGTTAATTGTATACAGTGAACGCTGATTTTATCGCTATACATGCATATTTATAGCCAAACAAATGTGTAACTATAAATATTATATATGTAAGTTTGACAATATTAATTTGCTGAGTTTGTATTAGATATGATTTCTGTGCCTTTTTCTGTTATCTAATTATATAATTCTACTCCAATCATCTATTTTTGTACTTTGTACTGCCATTTGTGATGTTTTTTCTTACATAACATACATATAAACAAACTTATATAGCATATTTACGACAAAACAAAAAAACAGAAGAAAAACATTTTTATTTCATATTATATTTTAACAAAATCATATTATTAATTAAAATATATTTTTATATATCTTAACAAAAAAAGTTGGTATGTTATTTTAAATATTAATTTTATGTATATTTAGGTATCATTTGTAAGTTTATCTAAATTTGTTCTTTAAATATATTAAGAATTTTAGATAATTTTTGCACTTGTTTAATCATTAGCGTTTGAATTGAAATAAATATAATTTTTAATTTTATATGGATTTCGTTTTATTTATTTATTATTATTATTTTTTTAAATTTTTTTTCATACAAATTTATGTAAATTGCCTTTTGTTTCCCCTTAAATATATGATTTCACAGCCGAAAGTTCTTTATTGTGCCAACAAATAGTTAACAAGCCAACATTTGTTCATACCAAACTCTATTCTCAATCCATATTTTCATTTCGATGATCAAATTGCAGGAATATGGAGTATTATATATATTTAAGAAAATAGTTATCTACTCTAATAGTAACGAATTATATTTAAAGAATATCTAAGAAAATACACACACACACATATTTATATGTATAACAATATTTTGACGACGATAGAAAAATGGACGATGAATGATTATTCTCAACAGTACAATATTCACCTGAAAAGTTTTCAAATTAAAGTTTCTGTTAAGCAAAAAACAAAGTTAATAAATAAATTAATATAATATAATAATGAAATTTCCACACACATACAATACATGCATACATAAATACAAATAACAAATAGCCATATGTGAAAGTATAATTGCATATTGAATTATTTTTAAGAATTTATTAGCTTAGATTAATTAGCATACACATACACATATGTATGTATGTACAAATGCATATACAATACATTTATATCGGGCGTATATGGAAAGTTAGCTGTATATTGTAAGTTACAAACACGGAGCTACAAAGTTCAAAATCGTATTAAGTTTATTTCAATAAGTTAGCAGTGCGTTGAGTTTAAAGAATGTTTTGTTTGTAATAGCATCGTGCAAAAAATGTTTGTATTTATGTAATATTCGGATATATTTTTCATTAAATTCTCATAAATACCACACATCCAATAAGAGTTGATATTCAAAGAAAACTGTAATTTTTTGAGAAAAAAAAATTGGATGTTTATTTCAATGTAAATCATCCTCATTACATTGATAATGGCAAAACAATATCGGCCGTCACGGCTACACTTACAGAACCGTATGCTTTTTATGAAACACCAAATTGCATAGTGGCTGTTGTACGCGCTCATTAGCTTCACTTCCATCTTTGAAGTCTTGGCGCGTGTCCGCAAAGAAAGGTCTTAAGTTGTAAAATCACAGGATCTCTATGGCCTATTGTCTCTTCGAGAGATAACACGGTCCGCAAACTTTTCCCTTGAAAGATCGATGGTTTCGTAGCTTGTCCTGTGCTACGGATTAATTCCATCCAATTCCGGGCATAATTCACACTAACGGCTGCACTAGCCTCATTTTTGAAAAAGTAAGGTCCCCGCCGGACCATAAACCGTACCAAACAGTTACACGTTGAGGATGGAGAGGTTTTTCAACAAATAAATCTTCGGCTTACCGAGACCCAGATGCTTATTGACGTAGTCAACATAGTGGAAATGGGTCTCATCAAACAAGTTGATTTTTCGATGAAATACCGTATCATTTTCACGCATTTCAAGGACCCATTACTAACTAGTCCAAACAGCTCCATTTTTGTTACCAATTTCCGTAGTGCGACCCGGCAAGAACCGACCGAAAAATGTTTTAGTTTTACGAACCGTCTCTGTCAGGCTTTCACCATTTTTATAGTGATTTTTATTAATTACAATGCGTGGTTGAAGCGTACATCGTACCATTTTCATTACTTGTCAAATGTCAAAGAATTACAGCTTAAAAGGTGAGATCCACTGGAATAGCAGGCTAATCAAAATAATACCTCTTATTGGAAAACCTTTTATTTTGGCGATATTTCAATTAAATTTAACGCCGTTTACTGATTCTGAACAGATACACACAAAAAAGCATTACTCGATTTTATATAAATACAAACATTTTTGCATTCATCTGAGCTTCATACACGGAGCAACAACTCTCTTGCCCCAACCGCTATTATTTCAAGTTCGTTTTGGCCTAAAGAGACGCTACAAAAGTAAAATGAAATCAAAAGAACTCAATATTAAACACACACACATACGTACATATAAAATTTTAGAGTATTTAACACTTAAGAATAATGATTTAGTGCAAATAATATTTAAAAAAGGCAAATTATTTATTGCAATGCTAAACTTACCTGATTTATTTACAAAGCACTTACGGTAAAAGGAATAGTGCGTAATGAAACAACAACAACAATTACATATAAATTTGATTGTTTTTGCTGCTCTACGCGCTTACAACGATATATACACGTACAGTGGTGGCGATATGATTAGAAACGACTTCGCAGTGTAGACAAAATTGCGCCAAGACGTTAAAAAAAAACAAAAAAAAAAAGAAGTGATCGGAATTAACAAAGTACAATCACCAATTTCGTTTTGGTTCGGTTCGGTTCGGTTATAATAGAAACGATTTTGATAAATTTAATTGCTTTACGGACTTGGGTCACCAAAAACGTTTCAGCCGTAGGCCGTATAAAGCCCGTGTCAATTAAAATGCGTAGAACTGGCTGCAGAGGGAGTCAGGCAAACTGTGTCTGTCCAGCGTTACAGCTGTATGACTTTGGTAAAATGCACAGCATCAAGCCACTCTAAATGCTCAACCTAAGCCGAAACTGCGCACGAACTATCTTTGTAGCACTTGATGGTCCTACGACATAGTCAACTAGGCAGCGTCAGAGGGTGTTTGCTTAAGCTCTTACGCCGATGACCTTTGTTTTAATGTAACCGACTTTCACTTTCTCTTCTTCCCCAACATACACCTAAGACTTTCGGCTGCGAATTCGGCTGCAATTTTCGGCCAAGCACTATTCTAAGTTGACCTGTACATTTCCTGCCCTTTATTAAGGGAAAAAGCTGACACAAAATCCTCAAGCCGTTGACTGGCAATGACTGAAGTGAAGATAACGATACTGCAACATACAAATGTATATGATGGCAGGCCATAAATTAAACTGCATGGATCATGACACCGATGGCTAATGATATGTAGAAAGTTCTATCAGAATACCGCTTTCAGGAACGTAACGGATCTCTACTCTTGTAGCCTGTGCATCACATTCACCCCGACAAAACTATGTTGCAAGCTAAATAGCATTACATTATGCTTTGCATGCATGATAAGTTCTAGATAGCTACACTAACAGAACTACCAGAGGCGAGGTGTCATCAAACGGTCTTTTACGCCATTCATAGAGAGTCAATCAACACCTTGCTTAATTCTCTGAATGCGCTTTGATCCATACCACACCTATGTCAGACGAGGCGTACGAACTGCTACTTGAGACACGAGTAATCATGGCATAATGAGCATCTGAATATTCTAAGCAACTCAACTCGATAACTAACATATTCGACTCGTGTTAGATAGCCACCTTCTTTTTGGTTTAACTCGAGGAATCTGTTCGTTTTCTAAGTCTCGCTTTGTGCATAATAGATGGCCTACATTGAACAGCTGTTTCCGATTTGGTTTCTTTTTTCCTGAAATCTCTTTAGAAAAGTGTCATTTTGGTGCATATTGGATCAAGTCGGGAAGTGTGGTGGACAGAGATATTCTATGATAAGGCTCTGTAGCAATCTTAGCAGTTCTGTCACAGTATTTTAAAGCCGTTCTGCAACTAAGGTTTCATTGTGATTGCTGTCTCAATGCTTCGCTGTCAGATTAGAATAAATTATATATATATACACTTATGAAATAGCTCCTACGAATACATCAATACATTACTCTATTCCTTCTAAACTCAACTAAAATGTCTTCACATGACAGTTGAGTCGAGAAAATAAAAAATTCCAATTCGAAGCAGAGACATATAGAGAAGTAAAGCAATTTTTTAATATACTTTTTACCTCACCGAAGATGGTTAAGGAAGAATTTTGTAACAGTTGTTACTACCCCGATTGCACAGAACTCATCTTTATCGACACACTCTTCTTCTTCTTTTCACTGTTTGACTTTTATTGGAAATAACAAGTGTATTCAGGTCCTTCTCTACGTGATCTTTCCTAAGGAGTGGGGGTCTTCTTCCTTTGCTTCCACCGGCGGGTACTGCATTGAAAACTCTCATAGCTAGATTGTTCTCATCTATCCGGACCACATGTCCTAGCCAGCGCAGCAGCTTTTTCTTGATTCGCTGAACTATGTCAATGTCGCGGTATATCTCGTATAGCTCAACGTTCCATCGGCAGCAGTACTCGCCATTCCCAATGTACAGAGTACCATAAATATTGCGCAAAACCTTTCCCTCGAATATTCCTAATGCCAACTCTTCGGAGGTTGCAATCGTTCATGCCTCCGCACCGTGTAGAAGGACGGGAACGAAAAGCAAATCGCTTGAGTTTGGTCTTTGTTCGGCGAGAGAGAATTTTACTTTTCAAACGAGTGATTCTGTGCCGGATTTCCAGGCTTTGTTGTTGGTGTTTAAATTGGTTCCAAGATAGACGAAGATATCTACGTTTTCAAAGTTATCATTGTGAACTGTGACGGGGGAGCCGAGTCGCGAATGTGATAATTGTTTGTGTGATGACAGGAGATATTTCGTCTGGCCCTAGTTCACTACCAGACCCATTCACTTCGTTTCTTGTCCAGTCTAGAGAAGAGGCAGAACTCACGGCGCAGTTGTTGAGACCAAAAATGTCAATACCGTTGGCGTACGCCAGAGCGCAGGCTCTTATAGAAGATCGTACCTTCTCTACTCACACATACACTACACTATGAATAACGGTATTCATATTCTATGCTGAGCGTTTCGGTTTTTGTAGCAATTCATTTTTAATTGTAGAACCACCACTGTATACACATACATACATACTCGTACATATGTT